TGTAAGGCTTCCACTTCAGAGCAGAATTATGGTTGCAAGCAAGGCCTTGCACCAATTACAGCAAGATGATGCTGTTATGAAGTCTGTCCTGCTGCCATTTTTCCCAGCACAGAGGGCTTCTATTAAATTCTACAGGACTGTGGATTACTTTCTGTACATGCTTTTTCCCTTCTAGATAAGAAAGTAATTGTTTTCTCACTTGATACTGAGATGTAATCATTTGACAATGCACTGTTCTAAAGTGAAGAAAACATTTGATTACATTTCAGATCAAGTCACCTAGTCTCTGATTTTTTCACTTCTTCCTGTTCAAACAAAATGCATTAACAGTAAAGTGTTTTCGGATACTCCTTTGTCAAACATTTTTCAACTGCATTTCTACTCCTCTTTCTCCCTTCCTGCTTAGTGTTTGTTACATATAAAGGAAAAAGAGAGTTTGCAGCAGCTTTTTTTTTTTTTTCTTAATGGCAAATAGGTCCTTTCAGTTCTCCAATGTTGCCAAGTAACAAACATGTAAATATCTCTCTTGCACCTCTTACTTTCAGTGCTCATGTTAATATAGCTACATATCATGTTTGGTGTTTAAAAACATGTGAGTGAAACCAAACCAAACAAAAAGAAAAGAACCAAAACAACCAACACCCCCCTCCCCAACATCTATCCCCTCAAGCCAAGAGGGTGGACTAAAATAACCTCTTTATTTTCATTCCTTTGCATTGCCTTTTACTGTTGTCTCACTTCGGATTGAACTAGCAGTTCCTCTACTGCTAGTTAAAGTTGACCTCTATATAACAAGTTTCTTACATGTACTGCTTTGGTGTTTTATGGATCCACTGGCATATAAAGGTGGTCTGTATTGATTAGTAGGAACAGTTTGGGTTTTTTATGCTACACATTTGCTTTCTGTTCTGGTAGTCCCTGCTTCCCCATGTTGAGATGCATGTGTGTTTGTCCACTGCCAGAATTATTTACAGGGAAAAATGAAACAAAAGAGAATAGAAATGCTTTTAATGTATTGTGATTTCAGTGGAAACAGAGAAAGAAATATTTGAGCACTCAAATGCAGAAGGGTTGTGCTGTGAGTATTTTGGCATGGGAATAACACACAATTGCCATTATAGTCTGCACCAATCTCACTGCTTTTTCATTAAAAAAAAAATCACCTGACATGGTGGTTTCTTACGGAAAACTAAAAATAATATTTTAATAGCATGTTGTTAATGAGTGAAATGGGATTAAAATCTTACTGAAATGCATTTCTAAGGGATTTTCTTTTCTATATTAGAATTATTATACTTGTCATACAGCATAATTATGTATTTACAGGAAATAAGAAAACAAATGAAGGTTGCAGCTTTGAAATTATTCTTGTGAGACTTCTACTAATTTACCTCTGAGATTCATAGATCAGAAAAGAAAGACTGAAGAATATCAGGATCATAGTTTTCTCTGGGTTTCCAGGTGATTTTGTAGGAGCATATCCTCCGTTCTTTCAAATGTGCTGCAGTCCAAAGACAGCAGCAGTTTACTTCCCTCCAGAACCATATTACGAAAATATTTTGGGTCTAGGGAATAGCCTTGATAAGTGGAGTAAAAAGGTGAAGAGTAAAGTACTCAAATATAGAAAATAGCTAATGTTTCATACATGAACTGCTATGAAAAGGCAGATGTTTTTAAAAAGCATGTGGTAATGCCACAGCCTGAGTAACAATTTGCAAGTCATGAGTCAGCAAGAATTAGGGAGACTTTAATAAAAAATTAGATTTTCTTCCTCATCCCTAAGCCTTTGCTGGATGCTACCATAAATGCTCACTGAGCAGAGATTCTGATTTTCTGGAAGATCCTCACTGATAGGTTATAAAACTAATTTTTCAGAATTTGGACCAAAATTTCAAATATTTTACTCAATCGGTGCATGCATGTTTTTGTTAGGAAAACTGTAAATCCAAAATGCTTGGTGACCATTGAACTCATACAAGACATGAAGCAACGTGTGCACACATCAACTTATCTGAACTATATAGAGATCGCGGCTCCCTACCTAGTAAGTATGTAGCAGGCAACTACACTGAAATTATATAAAATACATTTCATATTTTCCTTTTCAAAATAAAAATTCCCATGTAAAAACTTCAATCAAATTCTCTCTACAAAAATGTGAAGGAAGAGAGAACTCCATGCATGGCTGAGTAAGTGGCAAAAATTTATCCATGGGGCTCTTGTTCCAGGGCACAAGTTTAATCATGTGAAAGAGATCAGTGATTGGATTATCTTTTTTAATGGTCAGAATTTTTCGGCATTTACAATACACCATCATGTAAAATAGCTCTGTTAATTGTACTACAAATAACAAAGTCTTCACAGGCACTATGTATTTGGAACAGCATTTTAAAATGACAGTGTGTGTGTGCACACGCACGCACGTGTATGTGCTTGTATAACAGAGCATAGCCGCCTGCGATATGTTTCCAACTTTTTGCAGAGTCATGGACACAATTAAGAAACACTGACTGGAAAATCACCCACAAAGGTTGAGGACTAACAGCTTCCATGCTACACAGATGGTTACCTTCTTTCTAAAAGAACATACTGCCATTACAAATACCATATGTATCTTGTTCTCACCCAACAGAACTTTTTTCAGTTTTTCAGATTTGAAGGATCTCTTCAGATAACCATATTAATTTATAGTTTTCATATAAGGTGAAAGGAGGCACCAACCAAGACTGAGAGCACAACTTGTCATCAAAAAATAAATATCAGTAATTCTTGGAAAAATATTTAGAAAGCTATCCATTTACAATACCGCACTCTTTTTTTTTCAAATCCAAGAACCATATTTATTTCTGCTTCCCATATCTGTTGGTTTTCATTGCTATCATGCTGCTTGTAAAACCTGGGTTATTCTAATGAACAGAAATTATGACTTGAATTTGGGTAATGCTTACGACCATACAAATAATCTATCAGTAGCAGTATTTTCAGCTGGAGAATTAATGCTACAAGTGGATAACATTACGCTACTTGAAACCAATAGCTCTTCACACAGTAGAAGACTGAGGGTCCTATTCAGCAAATATTCAGGGTCCTATGGCTGTGGCCACAGAGGTTCCAGAAGCTCTCGCTGAGTCTAATCCTGATTCAGGAACCAAAATGATATGCTGTGTATATATTTCTCTGCACAGCCTGGATGCGCTGGACACCCTCCCCCACTTGATTCCTGGGAAGGAAAAAAATACATCTCTGTTTAGCTCAGTGGCATGAAAAGCAATCCACAGTAATGCAATCTAAAGAAGTTAGCCAGGCATGTATGAAAAGAACAGGATGCCTGTAAAAAGGGAAGAGCTGTCAAAACCTAATTGTGGGCTCTGGCTGCAATAAAATTTATCAAAGAGGGAAGACAGGTAGGATGTAAGGATGTAGATAACTTCTGCTAAGAGACACTTCTGGTATTCTGGGAAACGGTAACCATTACACTACTCCTCATGTGGGTGTCAAGTCATTCCTATCAATGCTTGGCTACAACTGAGAACTTGGTGATGAGTTTTCTAAACCCAGCTCCCAAATGCCCAGAAAGGCTTTTCAAGTGTGGCACTTCAGCTCATAGCTAGCTTGTTATTGAGGGCACAATCACATAGGGAGATCTCCCCCACTTTGCTTGATCTTCTCTCATAGGCATACTTGATTGTTGGCAGCACCCTTGTGCGTTCCCACTGCAACAGAGTCTGTGAGCACTTAGAGGTCTCACTGGTCAATCTGTGCTGCTGTGGTCCCAGGCACCAGTAAATGTAATTCCTTATGGACACAGGGTGAGACTGTGATTTTTTTTGCTATTTTTTAGCATCTTCCTATTGTACAACAATTATTTATGCAGCTACCTAAGGCTAGTGCTAACAGACAAGTAGGTGAAGTCCTCAGTTGTGTTCTAGTAACATGGCTGCACTCTGCTGCATAAAGTATACTCAGAGAGGCTACAAACTGTCTGCCTCTGTATATTAGGTGCTTATGGTGCTGTTTGTGACTTGGTATGAATACTATGGTCTTTCCCCTCTTTCTGTATCGGGAGTAACATTGTAGCTAAAACTTAGTAGTTTCTTTTGACTGGGATTACTGCCTAACTTTAGCCAGTGATAGAAACAATACGAGTAAGTGATGGTAACTCTTAGGAAGCAATTTAGTTAGATCTTTGATGAATATTAGTGTATCATGAATCAGGATTAGTATTCCCTGTATTGGGGAAAGGATTAGACAGAGGGATTAAAAGGACATCTTTACCCCACTGGACTCTGTGGAATAGCCCCTGAGGATATGGCTAAGAAAGAGTTCAACAGGAATAGC